TTGGCTGAATTTCTTTATTCATTCTGAACGTTTGGAATAAACTTTTCTGTTTATTTATTCTTTAGAACGTTCCTGATGATATGTTGACGTATATTTCAAACGCATTCTGTTTATTCCGGCTGTGAAATGGGATTATCCGGAATGTATAAAGAAACGCAGCCCTTAATTTTTATTAATTTGGGATTATCCAAAACTCCAAGTAAACTTACATATATCCAACTCGAACCTCTGTATCTTAAGGTGTAGGACGAAGTATGACATACGTTGTAGATACATAAGCACATATGCACTTGTTGGAGTTTGTCAGTGTACTTAAGGACCTGTGTAAAGTGTAGGGTCCTAGGTAGGGTCGAGTACAACATGAGATGTGCGCTCGTATTATCCAAATGACAAAATAAATTAGCAACAAAAATTCTGAAAATTTAGCAGCATTCGCTCTTAAAGAGGCAAAATATCCACAAAAGTAAAAGTGCAAAATATGCAAAAAATTATATATTTTCTATTATTTATGTATATATTTGCGATCAGCTAATTTTCTACTTGCAGGTTTTCGCAAGTAAACATTTAGGGCCGGTTGTTCAATGTCTGATTAACACAAATCGGAGGTAGAAGCTCCGGTTTAGTACACCGACTGCTTTATCGATCACATGTTATATGCATGATGTCGAAATCGTCGATAGTGTAGTGGTAGTGATAACCAGACATTGAACAACCGGCCCTAAGTCTGTTCCAATAGCAGTCCGGTTTACAGGATTTAGTCAGAATTTACAGGAAGTCGTTCCTATTGACATAAAACCTGTAAGTGGGAAACTTTTGAGAGGGTAACTGAGCAACTGTTCCTAGTCAGAAGTTACAGGATTTAGTCCGGAGTTTTTTTTCCTGTAAGTTCATGAAAAGTGTCAAACGATCAGCTGATTTACATTTGCAGACAAAAACAAAAAGCGGTGAAAGCAAAGAACCTTATATTTGTAAAAAAAAAAATGGAAGTAAACAACGAAATGTTTGAATATGTATTGATTTTAATAACTATTTAGTGATATTTCAGCCAAATCAGTGTTGTACAAATGACATGTAAACAAACCGACTGACGTTTTTACAGGAAATAGTGCTTTTTGCGTTCCCGTGCGCTTCTGTATCTGTTCTCCTTTTACTCTCACTTGAGAGAGTAAAATTGTAGTTTGACAGTTCCACAGGTTTTAGTCCGAAGTTCAAAGGAACAGACTAATTTTTCCAGCTCTCAATGACTGATTTCTCTCTCAATTTCCTCTACTTTGCAAGTCTTTTGGGTACGATAACGCAGAAGCTGTGATAGTTTTCTCTACCTTTGGACAATTTTAAGTACGAATACACTCCTATTAAAATAGGTTTCTTATAGCTTCAGAATCTTCCTTTTTTATTTAGCCAAAAAAATATTGTTTTCGTAATTGATGCACTTATCCATTAACAGCTTGACTATTGTATAATCAGATTCAAACATGTTTTGAAAAGGGGATTTATAGACCTTTAAGCGCTATATTGAAAATTTTTGAAATTTAACTATTTTTACAAGGGTTACCACATGTTTAAAATATCATATTAAATTTTAATTAATAACCCGATTCTGTATCGGTGACAAAACTTTTATAACTGACAAATTTAAACTTTTTCATATATTTTTCCATAAACAAAAAGCAAAAAAACGGTGACAAGAATTTCCCTGCAAACCAAAGTTCCCGAAATCTTTAGGAGTATACCATTTCTGTAACGATTTTTTTTACGAATCTTCAAAGACACGAACTCGTAAAGAAATTTCTGTAGGAAAAATAAATAAAATTCTGAAAAAAATTCTGCAAGAAATTCTTCTCATTCGTAAAAGAATCGAAGTGTGCACAGTTTATTTGATTTTAGAAAATTTGGCAAAAAAAAAATTCTCTACAGTTCAGAATACTCTGAAAAAATGGTTTGCCGAGTTTAGTTTAAAACTTTAATCGTAAACTTAATTTGGAGTTTTTTGGGTTTTAAGATGGTTGCCACCTTTTTAAAAGTTAAATTTAATTTTGAAGTTTTAACGCTATACGGCTGGTGAATCCGTTGACTTATTTAACGATACAGTTTTTGTGTATTTTTAAACAATTTTCTAAATTTATTAAATTCGTTTTTTTTTTTTTTTTTTTCAGAGATCCCAATAATGAGAGCGATCAATACTTGAAAAATTTGACATGGCCACTGTATTCCAGAGATAAGAAGCCTTACCTAGTAATAGGAAAGGATTTGGTTGTTTCAGAAGGTGGCATTTACACTGAAAGATACCAAATCTGGGATGAGCTATTTCCCGTACCGAAAACGTTCAACTAAGTAAAATCTCTTATGCACCTAAGTAATCATTTGAAGTGGAGCTTTAGCAAATTCCCGGCAGTTACGAAACATGTGCACAAATTTTTTGGTTGTTTCTTTTTATTGAAAATATTTTGATTTTAGAGAAAAAATGAAAACAAAAAAAAATATTTGATAAGAAATAAATTTAGTTTCAATGAATTATTTAACTGTTTGTTTCTTGATATTCGCGTTCATGCAAATGAACATTTTGGGAAATGCTAAATGCAGGAAGAAGGGACAAATAAGTAAGCAAGCAGCGGATAAATCAAAGGAAACACAAGGAATAAAAAAGAACAACATAACAAGTCAGGACAGTCCGACGAACGAAGTCACAAAACCCAAAGAAGCTAGCGATACTCAGGAAAATGTCCCCTACGACCTGCCTAGTGCAGACGATGCAATAAAAGAGGACGATAAGACGAAGCAAACAAATGCCACACAAACCGGTCGCTTTAACCTGCCCACTGACTTTAGTTATCCCAAAGAGTTTGGCTTACCAACTGACTCGAACTCACCCGGCCAGCCGGATCAGTCCCGCGAAGAGGCCGAGTTGGGTTACCATGGTAACTTGTATGATGTGTTCAAGAAACGGTTAGACCAAGTTTTTCGAGAGCTCTACTACAACGTAAATAGTCCGGGGGTTACAGCACCGCCACCACAAATCGAATACGAAACTGATAAACCTAAGAAACGTTCAGCTGTTAGCAATTGCCTCTATGAGGAGTTCAAGCGTCGTTTAGATAAATTCAACAACGAATTTATGGAGCCGGCTAAAGCCATTAAGCGCACCAGCAGCGAGAGCACGGGGGTTAGTGGGTCCGGAAAACGCTCAACTGTACAAGAGAACTTATACGAGGAGTATAAGAGACGTCTCGATAAGCTTGGCAATGAGCTTTGGTTTGATGGCGAAAAAGTGTTTGACCGCAGTGGGCGTGAGGCTCCTGGTAAGCTGCCATTTATAAACACGAAGCCTGAATACAAACCAAAGCGCAGTGAAACGGACAAGGCTGCACAGCAAGATTTCTATGAAGAGTACAAGAAAAAACTAGATCAATTGACGCGAGAACTATACCAGAAGAGCAACGAACGCATTTGTCGCACATACACCCAACTGACCGCGGAGGATCTTACCTCGCCCACATTGCAGCGCTTAGTCGAAGCAGTGCAACTAGATGAAGCGAAAAGTATGAAGGGAGACACGCGTGACGCACCGGGCAGTTTTGAAGGATCAAATATTCTACTTAAAATCGACAAAGCTATTGACAATTTGGACAAGCAAGAGGACAAGCGCAGTTTGGGTGCTGACGATTTAGGTACCACCATTTTCGGTGCCGATTCCTTAAATTTTATGACAGGCGCGTCAAATGGAGTTGGTGCAACAGCTGCCGCCTCCTATCCGGCGGTGCTCACTAAAACGGTGGACGCAAATTTGGGACTGTTGGGTACAGCGCCGAAGAATATGCTTGCAACGGTTGCCTCAAAAATGAATATGACTACGCTGGATTTGGCCAAGAAGCTGGCGGCCATGTCTAATCCGTTAGATTATGTAGCCAAAAGTGATCCGCAGCTGGGCGAAGAAGTACAAAAATTGATCGATTTCAGCAGTAAGCTCGAAAAGAATCAAAGAATGAAAAATTAATTTCTTACTTTCAGTCAGCAATAAGCTCAACCAAAATCCAACTGCGAAAAAATCACCAGTACATGAAGTATCAGTAGTCGCGGGCTTACCTTTACTTGGACCGGACTCATCAGGAGTGCCTACACCGCTTATGATGCAAGATGCCTTATTCGGTGCCATTCCCGCACTAGCACCTGCGTCCGTACCTGCGCCTGCTCCCGCACCCGCACCAGCGCCCACATCTTCAGTTTCGCCTGCATCGACTGCTGCCTCAGCACAGCCACAAGATCCATCTCAGCCTAAGCCAGCAACAAAATCTCCGCCAGTGGCTGTAAGCGGTGCAGCCCAGTCGAGTGAAGCTGAGGCCATGCGTATAGCGGGTGTACTAGACAAGGTGCTGGGTAAGCTGGAGCACATGCAACAATGCAGAACGGGTGTTAGTGCTGAACCAGCAGACGATAACTGTGAACCAGATGGTAATGCTATGACTTCAGCGCACCTGATAGGCCTTCGGTTTTATACGAGTATTTCTTTTATACCAGGTATAACCTGCGATGTTGTGGGCTCCTGGAACTCCTACGCGATGGGCTTACGTTTCGATATTGCGCTAAGCAAGGCAGCAGACAGGCGACTGGGCATGGCTGAGAAGAACAACCAACTGCTAACGATTGATGTTGGCGAACGTGTACCGCCGAAGGCACATCACATTCTTGATACCAGTTGGAAATTTATGGGCAGCGCACTGAATCAGCAAGGTGGTCCGTTCTATTTTTATACGCAAAATCGCGAGCTTAACACTGTGGCGACTTTTATAGGTAGGTTTTTGAAAAATCATGGGATATTTGTACAATATTGTGTCCGTGGCTTCCAGGCTATTGTCGTGTCTGCGATGGCATCGATACAATTTTCGGTTCATGGACAATTATGGAACCATCCAAGGATTGCCAAGATGTTACGACATCACTGGAGAATAGGCGCGACATTTTTCGACGTTACAATATGGAAAGTAAACGGAATAAGCATTTCAAGGATATGCTATTTGAAAAGAGCAAATACTCCAAACCAGAGTGCAAGGACAATAAAAATGGATAAATTGTTATGCTAATTATTTGTGCTTATGGTTCTAGCAATTTAATTTATTTTCTGATACTTTATTTTAAGCGTGTGATTAAAATTTTGTACATAAGTATACACACATACATATGTCTTTACATACCACCATATTTTGTTTTGCCGCATTCTTCATATTAACCGGAGACTAGGAGCGCCATACATACTGTCGAAGGTAACTCCGAGGATTCTTGGTTATTCACCGTCGGAATGGGTTCGCCATCGACGTGAATACCCAGCTGCAGCCTGACCTCCTTCGTGCAGGTGGTGAACAAGGTTGCGGGGGACTGTAAAGAAGCGAGAAAGCTCGGCAAGGTAATAGTATACTTTCGAGCACTGGTCATCAATTCCATTCCTTGATGCCATTATCGAGAAATCGTCAGCATCAGAGACAATAGTGACTCCTTCTAGTGGTTAGAGAGCTTTGAAATACAGCAATTAAACAATAGTGGGGATAGGACACCACCCCGTGGTGCCCCTGTTAAATTTTTCTCGGTTTCCTAATTTTGCCCCTAAAACCTATTGACAAATGTCGACCACGGCCACGAGTTATCTGGATGTTTATGGCGTTAAGTTGTTGTGCTGTGCACTTTATGGAACCCATGCTGATGCCTCGCTGGGGTTAGGTGGTTAGTGTAGTGCGGGAGTAGAAGGTCCTCTGGTGTCTTCGCAACCGAGGAAAAGAGGGTTATCGGAGGATAATACTCTTCTTTGTTGGACGGTTTGAATAGTCCTATCGCTTTCGCCTTCCATATGGCTACCCTCACTTCGCCGTGAAAACAAGAGGCGCACTGGGCGTTAGCAGTTTGTGCAGCCTTCTGGTCACTCGACGTTTGGCTTTGCCCGCCGGAGGATGCGGCGTGAACTGTCGGCTAAAATAGCTCGCGCATCGCTCCGGATCCGACAAGGCGCGGTCACCGAAAGAGATTTTGACTCTGTCGTCACGCTTCGTCGGATTGGACAGTGACCTCACGGTTTACCAAAGCTTGCTCACAACAGAGAAGTTGCAGGTCTTCAGATGCTCTTCCCACTTCTTCCGCTTATGCACGTTCACAAGTTGCCATATACCTCCATGTTGAGATCCCTTATACGGCGATTTCCGGGATCGGCCTGACGCAGGTTTTCACTCTCATGGGCTAGAACAGCCGCTTCAGCTGGAAAATTCGGAAGCGGGCTGCAGAAGCTGTGACAACCCCGCGGTACTTACGCTTACGTGAGTGAACGTCGGTTGGTGTGGGTAACGTGCTTTCAGTAAATTCCGCGAAGCCTTTCCAATCAGCTTTTGAAAAGTTGACTCAAATTGAAGAGCTTGCAACAACAACGATACCCAAATACGGCGTGTTTTGACATGGCGATTGTAGCCGTAATCAACTTTGGGACCATGAAAGCTCGTCATATCTTTCCAGTGGTGTTTTCGACTTCAAAATCAGTCCAATAGGGCCGCCAAAATTAATATTAGCGTATTAATATATAGATTAGGCAAGGCAAGAAAGGAGCGTTATGTAACAAAAACTTTGAAATTCATGTCATTTGGTATTAATCGCTTAATACTGCTCACTAACCAATCAATATACTCGTAGTAGGTATGTAGTTATGCAATAAATAAATCAGCGATATACAATTTCTCATTGTCAATTCTTTATTTTTAATAATTATTCATTTTATAATCATAAACTTTAATAATAAGATTTTCCGTATTATTAAATATAGATATAGTATATTTAACTGTGTATGTGTTGTTTATAATGTTTAATGTTTATATGAAATTAGAACATACGTATGCAGCTAAAAACTAAAGTCAAATTTGAATTGAGAATCAAAATGTCAATATTTATGTTTTTTATTAGTAAAATTTTTTTTGCATTGCAATATATTTGCATAAATTATACCATTTTCATATGACATTAGCATAAGCAATTTCTTGTCTGATTTGGCGGTTGCTTACTTTTTGTTTCATACATTTTTCCATAAGCACATTAGATAAAATATAGTTAAATTATTTTACATTTTGGACTTAAATGGTTGCACGCGTACTTTTCGATAGTATGTGCTATTTATTCAGTTGTTTATGACTTAATGACATATTAAATAATAAACATTAAAAAACAAACTAAACTAGAAACGACTATGTATGCAAGTTTTTTTTTTTTTTTTGTGTGTGTATAATATATGTGAGTGTGTCTGGAGAGGGTATTTGCGCTTCGCTCCATTGTAGAATAATGAACGATTTCTAGTTGACTTTACTCATTTTTCTTTCTTTTCTCTTTTGTTTTACATACAAAATTTGCATTTAAATTGGCAAATAGTTAATTTTTTTTTTTTGGATCTTTCATTTAGGGTGGTGTGTATGTACACTGGTGCCATACTGCGAGCACTTTCTCGCTGCAAGAGGTAATTTTAATAAACTTGTATGCTTTAGTTTATCACAAAAATGCGAAATAAAACAATTGTTATGATTATTAAAATTTCAGATATAAATTGTTATATAACCACAATTCATTATATATGTACATATAACGATTTAGATGCCAATTTTCTTACCACTTTTTAATTAAAAAAAAAAAAAAAAAAAAAAACGCAAGTCAAGTTCTTTTATCTGTATGAATTAAATATTTTGAATAGCATTTTAATATTTTCATTTTGCGATAACTGAAATTCTATTTATAAACTGTACCAAACAGTGATCTACATACATATGTATGTATATATTTATGAAAATATCTCACTTGCTTTTATGTGCACATGTATTTACTTAAAACACGCGCAAGCGCATAGCGCATCACCTTCGTTTTACGACTTTACATTTAACAACTCATTGTAATTATTTTGTTAAACTTTATTCCACTTTTGTTTGTTAGATTTTACTAGTTTACTTAAAATGTTACAGTACGGTACGCTCAGTTCTGCTATTTGATTTTATTATTCATATTTAAATATTATATAAATCCATTATTGAACACACGTTCTGATTTTAACTTAAGTGCAATTGTTATATTTTCTTTTATCTAAAAACGAAAGTGCAGTTCAACTCAAACGAAACTCAAAATTTACGACGCTTGCGTGCTACTGTAACCAACAATTGCACTAATTTTCAGGGCAATCAATGTAGAGAAATTGTCAAAAGGCAATTTAAGCCAAAACTAAAACTCTTTAAAAGTCAATTCATTCATAAACATATCGAGGGGGCTTTATATTCAATACCCTCTTATCTGCAATTTGCTCAAAACGAAATTTAGAAATAAAAATCTACCTTAGGCTTAACTGTCATCGATGATGACCTTAGTGGTGACAGTTAAGCTCCAGATGGGTTCTAACATCGCAGATTAGTTTTCGTGAAAATTGCAAATAGAGGGTATATATTGAATATAACCAAACGATATGCGCATACATATCGCATATACATATGTACGTGTTTTAAACGCACGCTGCGTGTGTATATGTAGTTTTATACATACATTATACATACGAGTATATGCATAATTTCTTATGTGTGCGTGTCCTGTGCTTATACATATTTGTCTTATCTATTGCTTAAGTTTACAAAATATGACTTACATGAATACATACGTACATATGCAAAAAAAAACGCAAACACAAGTACCTAACACGCTCGGCTTCAAACAAATTACATAAGTTTTAGATTGCATGTTTTCTTAAATAAAATTTTAAGCTCAAATTGTTTGAAATATATGTACATATAGGTGATGGTCTTGTACTTGAGTTTGCATATACATACATACCTATATACCCACATAGCCGTAGTGCTGCAATTCGATTCCATAGATTCTTCTGCAATATTGCAAATAAAGTTTCTACTCCCATTCACTCCCATTTCGATCTAGATACAGTACAGTTTTAGTTTAGTTTGGAGCTTTGTCATGTAATTGTGTATATGTATGCACATTTACAATCAATACGCAAACATAACGAAACATACAAATAAAATGGGATCTAATTTAGTTCGAATTACGAACGACTCTGGATTTGGTTACTCTTAATTATAATTGTAATACAACATAGAACCCTTTAAACGGCATGTGACACAAATGACGACAAGTAAATGTTTGTGTATGTACATAAGTGTGATTGTGGATGTGCGTATGCAGGCATGCATTGATCGAACGATATATTAGGAATATATTTACATACATACGAACTGATTTAATGCGCAGAGCTACAATGGTTAATACAAACATATTTATGTACCTACATGCAACAACACGACGATGTATTTTAAGCGATCGTGTACTCCAGGGCAACGTGTCGTTTTCGTTTATTAATGCTAATGCAACAATCAATCAGATCAGCCGCAAACAATTTGTATGAAATCTTGAGCAAAAGCTTTAACCAAATACATACATATGTATAGAATGAAGTTTAGAGATAATAAAAGTACGTTAACATATGTACATATGCAGAGATCATCCTCATTTGGTAGTATCGTAGTGATGTTTTTTTTATATGTAAACGTTCTTTAAAATCTTTAATTTTCCCAGCAGCTCTCTACATATTCAATTTCAAAAAATTCGTCATATATTACAAGAAATTAATTTTTTTATTTCCGAGAAATTGGCAAAGTAAGAAGCTACTCCAGCGTCTATAAAATCTAAAATCAATAAATTTCAACGTACTAGCGGAGAACATAGGGAACCAATGCTTCGAAATATATATTTGTTGCATTTACAGATAGCGCTGAGCATAACGTTCGTAGACGTACCTATAAAGAGCTTTAAAAAAAAAAACTGAATATACAAGATATGGCTTTGATGAAGAATTACCAATTTAATCAGTGAAATTGCCTTCGCACCTGAACAAATTTGATTCACTGTATGTGTCTGGTGTAGCTCTAGTTTGCTATGAAATCTGAAACTGAAATTTCTCCCTAGTAAAAATTAGCAGCACAATTACTTAAAATAACATCTACATACACAATACGAAATTAGTTGGAAAGCCAATATAAATAATAAAATAACTTCTTCAAATGAAAAGTTGGTGACGCATGCAATTATAGCTTAATTTTCTTTTATTTTCTTTCTTGATAAAAAATCAAGATTTGCGTCAGATGAGCACAGAAAAATAAACAAACTCAATGGGATATGCTTTTTAGCCTTCTATTTATCTCAATTTTTTGTAATAAAATTTACAAATAATGGTTTTAAAAATAATTGCCCTGCTAGTGTTTATTGTTTAAAAATTTTCGTAGGCTTTTCCACGGGGACGGGCGTTGAGTGATTACATATTTATTTGCACACGCACACACAAACTCGCGCACATTAAAAGCAAAGGCAGCAAATTTCATTGAAATTTCATTGAAATTTGCATGTGGTAAAGTGAGGGGGCAAAATATACAAAATATATATGTATCTGTGTAAAGTACAAAGTAAGCGTACATATGTATGCGTATGTACGCGCAAAATAGTGATGATAGTACATGCAGTGTATATGAATGTATGCTGCAAGTGACGCTCCAAAGTATGGCGCACGGGTAGTAACTTCAAATTAGAAGAATTAAGTTTCACATAAAAGTTTTAAGTAAAACATCCATTTCGCAAAAGCGAAAAAAGCAAACATGTATGCATTACTGTTTGTGTGTTTTTTTTTCTATTTTCGCCAAATTCAGTATGTGTAGCGCTTTAAATTGCTCAGCTCTTTTCGCAGTTTCTACGATTTCTTTAGCATAGCAAAGATGTTGAGTTGCATGCAAAACAGGAAATTATACTTTTATAAAAAGTACCTGCAATATTAATTGCGCTTGTACCTATGTTATGTAGTACAACCTTGAACTTTATGTATGTCTGTCTGCTTCTAATTGTTGCTGTATATAAGTTATTTTTGTTCCTTACTATTGTTATTGTATGCTTGCGAATTTTTTTTTTCTATAATGTAGTTAGTTTATGGAAGTGTGTTGTTGCTATTTTCACTGCTACCTAATTGTGGTTGACATTGTGTGATGATGAAGAAGTCTTGTCTTTTTCTCTTCACCAAAGTTTGATTCTGGTACGGTGGTTGTTGCGCTGCACCATTGTCATCATCCCCTGTTGTTCGCTGGTTGCGCCTAAGTCCTGCCTTTTCTTCTCTCTACTCATTGCTGCATCATATTTTGTTTGTATATTTGTAGTTCGTGTTGTTGTTTATTGTTCCTTCTTTTTTTTCTCTGTTGTTCCTTGTTGCAATTCTAATTTTAATTAACAATAACCAAATCGCGCTAAATCTCATCTTGACAAGCTATGCGAACGTTCACGACTGCTGCTGCTGCCCGAAGAGACGGCCTGCTTATTGTTGCCGACGTCGCCAACGCGTTGGTGCGGTGGGAGCTTGTCGAAGAATGGATGTCGTAGCGCATCACCTAGAGAGGAAGAGTAATGAAATAGAAAATAGATTAGTAATATTATTGATGTAAAATGGATTAGTTTGCCTTGAAAGAACTGAAACTCGGCTAAAGGTTTTGAAATACGCTTCGCGTGCCAAATATCAAAACTTTTTCATAGCAACTGTGCTTTCTCATGAAGTGTGAAATAACGATTCAAGATATCGATTTAGAATCAATTTTAAGAGCTCGTGGAGCAATGAAAATTGGTATATATATTCACATATATACTACGCATGTTGCAGGAGCAAAGAGATATTGGCAATGCTGCAGAAATTACGGGATCTTATTGTACTAATATTTTCGCAATAAATGAAATGAAAAGGAATTGATAATTAGCATATTGACACCTTTAGTAAAATTTCAGTACTTTACAGTAAATATTAAATCTTGTATTGAGCGCCGTTGTTACTGCTAGTCTAGTGTCGAATTTCCTCTGGTCATTGAAATGATAAAAGTTTTAGTGATATAATTGGACATTAAATAAACCTGCGCCATTACATTTGTAACAAACCAGATGCAAATTTGGGAAAAAAACTTCCTCCAGGAGCCCTTATTTCGGACATTCTGTAGCGATGGGGCTTTCTCTGTCGTTTCTTAACACCTTTTCTTGCAAGGACTAGCCACAGCCTAACGCGAGTGTTTCTTTACTTTACTTTCATTGCTTTGGAACAACACTTTCTTGCCAGCCTTTAAGGCTATTTAAAAATCTTCTACAGCCTCTAAAGGGGTCTTAGTGCAAAAGCCCTGTTTGAAGGCACTTTTTTTTTACAAGCGCGCTTCATTTTCCCGACTGAGGGTAGGCGTAAAAAATATTTATCTCACCACACACTTTTTTGTCATTGCAATGCCCAGCAAAAATTCGTTATAATAATAACATGAGTATGTATTTTCTTGAAACTTTACACTAGATATACTTTCGAGTCTGAAAAGACGTCTTCTGCTTTTTACTTAATGAAGCTTAAGTTTCAAATATCCGCCCTACAATTGCATTTCTTTACCGTGAACATTAAAAATGTACACATTTTTGTTTACTTACTGCATATATTAAAGTGTGATCTTCCAGAGATGCTTACCTTGTTATTTTATATATGAAATGCAATTGCAGGAGATTACAAAACACAACAAACACAAAGAATTTGTTATTATTATTGTGAGAAATTCTGTTAGAAAATTATAATTAACATTCAAAGTGAAAACGAGCTTGATCTTTCACGGTTGCTTGTTAATATATTTTGTTGCAAATATTTTAAAATAATTTTCCAACCCTAGAAATCATTTTAAAATTGAATGCTACTCAAAGCACTACGAGGTCGGCATGCTCACGCAATTCACGATATTAGCATAGGGTAAGTGTATTAAAATATTTTTATTCTTATCACTTTCACTGTTTTAACAATAAAAGTACCACGGACAGTAACAACAACACTCTCAAGTTACGACAAATATTATATATAATTTTTTTTTTTTTTTTGACATTTCACTTTATATTGTCTCACATTAGCATGCCACATTCTCACTTACCTAACGTAATCCGTTGTGATGGCTCGTAATCCAACATCTTCTTGATCAGATCAAAGAGCTCGCAATGATCTTCTGTATCGCTCATTTGATATCTAAACAATGGCTTACAATGATCACGTACATAACGTCCAGCCGATGACTTCTCATCCCAGTCCAACTTACCGTGATAGAAGTATTTTGTTTTTGTTTTGCTGTAATGACAATGATTACTAAACATTAATCGAATTTTATGAAGTATACTGCACGTTTAAATATGTAAGCATGTTTAGCTTTGCATTACCGTGCCATACGATATGGTATTTGGCCCAATATACGCTCCATCATCGCGAGATGCTCACGATTGTCGTGCGTTTGGAAGAGTGTGATGCCCAGATATAATTCGAAGAGTATGCAGCTGTATGGAAAGTAGAGAAAATAATAAGGATTAAAATAAAATTTATAGTTTTAGTAGTTGAACACGAACTATTTATGGGTGTTGGTTTATTTGTACGAAAGTGTGGGAAGATAGATGTATTTTGGAACGAAATTCCGTCACTGCTTGTCAAGTTTGGTTTGAAGAAAATGAAAATGGCACAACGCTGAAACCGGTTTGCCTTCATACCAAACTTGATAAGAGATGACGGAAATTCGTTCAAAAAATACATACTCAAAGTACTACTTATACATAAATACATAAGTTCATGCTAAGACTGAGTTCAGACACGGACATTTTTGTTGCTCATTTTCGGCAACTTCTCTTTTGTATACAATTGTTGTTGTCAGCTGTGAACCGCCAACTTGAATAACTCAGGCGAACTAGAGCACAAAGCGTGTTGCCCGAGCACGAGCAAATCGGTGCCCTTCCCCTTCCTCGTCGTTCGCCCTCTCCTAAAAGTAACGAGTTGCCGCGACAAAAGTTTCCGTGTCTGAACTCAGACTAAGGGGTTGTATTTCAAGATCAATGTGTTTCGCTCAAGTGTTGATTTTTTGTTTCCTACAATTCACTTACCCAATTGACCAAACGTCACAGGGCTGCGACCAACCCAATTCAAGAATAACTTCCGGTGCACGGTAGTGACGTGTCGATACAATTGTGCTGTGATGCTCATGATCGAATGTAGCTGAACCGAAATCGATTAGGCGAACATCGGTGTTTTTGACGCGACGCACCTCACGATTCTGAAAAATAAAATTCAGTATAGTTTTAGATTTGC